TAGACCCTTCCAGAGCTGAGATATGGAAACTCAAAAATTCCACCCGGAAAAAAAAAAACAACAGTGGTACCCCTTTCGTTTTGTTTTTTTTTCCGGCGAAAAAAAGACTTAAACCAGAGACTTAATTAAGTTTCTCCAATCTTCTCAAAACTCTGGATTCTGATAGAGGGCCATGAGACTTAAACCTGAGTGCAAAAATGGAGGCTCCAGACCCTTCCAGAGCTGAGATATCGAATTTCAAAATTTCGACAAGTAAGAAAAAAACGAAAGGGGTACCACTGTCGTTTTTTTGGGGGGGGGCGAAATTTTGAGTTTCTCTGATCTTCTTGAAACTCTGGATTCTGATAGAGGGCCATGAGACTTCGGCCTGAGTGCAAAAATGGAGGATCTAGTCCCTTCCAGAGCTGAGATATCGAAACCCAAAATTTCGACCCGAAAAAAAAACGAAAGGGGTACCACTGTCGTTTTTTTCTGGGGGGGCGAAATTTTGAGTTTCTCTGATCTTCTTGAAACTCTGGGTTCTGATAGAGGGCCATGAGACTTAGACATGAGTGCAAAAATGAAGGCTCTAGACCCTTCCAGAGCTGAGATATTGAGATATTTATAATGGCATAAATGCTATGTGGGATGTCAATATCTCAGCTCTGGAACGGTCTAGAACTTTAATTATAAAATGTCCATCAAATAAACTGTCTGAATCACCATTCAATAGATTGCAGGTGGGATTCTGTCCACTTGCAGTTTATTGCATGAAGGCCGGGGTTAGTACTTTTAAAAAATAGTGGGTTATTGAACACATAGTGTGTTCGTGGACACGTGTTTTTATGTGGTTTTCTCAAAAAACACATATAAAAAAGAAAAAAAAGAAGCTCAACAGTGGAAGCTCCAGTGGTTCAGTGGTTTGAGCGTTGCTCCATCATGTGGAGGATTTGGGTTCAAATCCCACTCTTTGCGTTAAAATGCTTTATTTTCACTGTTTTTTTCCAAATAAAAAAAAAAACATTACCCCAAAATAAAGAGGTCTAATAGTGGAAGCTCCAGTGGCTCAGTGGTTTGAGAGTTGCTCCATCATGTGGAGGATTTGGGTTCAAAACCCACTCTTTGCATTAAAATGCTTTATTTTGAATGGTTTTGTCCAAATAAAAATGACATGCCCCCAAAATAAAGAGATTTATTGGAAGTTCCAGTGGCTCAGTGGTTTGAGTGTCGCTTCATCATGTGGAGGATTTGGTTTCAAATCTCACTATTTGTGTTTAATGCTTCAGTTTCACTGGTTTTGTCCAAATAAAAATGACATGCACCCAAAAAAAGAAATCTTCATGTAGAAGTGCCAGTGGCTCAGTGGGTTGAGCGTGTTCTCTCCTGTCGGGAGGATCCCGGTTCGAGACTGGACACAGAAGTGTGGATGCGTGGAGCAAAAGCTGCAATGGAGACACGAGATCAAGTCTCACTTGCCTTTAAGTTATCATTCTGGTACAAATATATACTATATATTTGAATGAAGAAATGTAATCTTCTCTTGTTCAGATCAGCCTTATAATACTGAGACGAACGGAAGGTTTCAGTCTCTTTTGGGCTTGTGGAGTGTGTGATTAAAATGGCCTTGTACTGTCACAGCATGCTAACAGTGAGTGATGTTACACACCACAAGGTTCAGCGAGATAACTACGTCTGCTGCGTTGTGCCTTCCAGTGTGAGCATCGAAGTAAGAACAGTGAGTGATGTTAGACAGCTCAACAGACTAATGCATGTTTGTGTGTGTGTTTTAGAGTTGCTCAGTCTCTTCGTCTCCTGGTCTCAGGTGCCTCGGCACATCTCACCTGACTGCATCATCTAGGCCTCAGGATGGCGAAACACAAACTGCACATACAATATAATTTACTTCAAACTACAGATTTGACTTGACATACAGCAAAAGACACTGCATATATTTGGGTCTCATTAGTTTATCCAGGATGGACCTAAAAACTCTTCTCTCAAAATCTGTAACCTATTAAACATCGTTAACACAGCTAAATCAACATGATTATTATTTTAATCTTCACACTGTGTAGCCAGAGGACTATCACAGAAGAATTCAGGAAATTAAAGACACACTACAGTATGTCTGTTTAAAGCTGATTTGTATTGCTTTATAAATGTCCCAAAATGATGTGCATTTACTTGTAGTTTTGTGTTTGTGTAAAAAATCAATTCGTTACACCTCATAATTCAGTGGAATTCATTTTGATTTGTATTGTGTAATTTGGCCAACATTTAATTTTTTTATAGCCTGTAAGTTTTGGTTCACTAATTGTATTGCATTGAATGTTATTTTATTGTCTGATGTTCTGTTTTAAGAAATAATTATGACATAAATCATATGAATTAGTACAAAATGACATGCATGTAATTAATGTATATATATATATATATATATATATACTGTATATATATATATATATATATTTCCTTATTGCTAAATAACAAATAGCTTAACGTCGCAAAACATACCTGAAAACGCATTTTCTTTCATTAATCAGAATAAAAATACAAGATTATTATATGAATTAATGGATTTGATTACTTTAGATTTGTGATTCCGTAATTGTATTACTGTTCTGTAATCAAGGCTAGACAACCAATTAATATTTATACTAAGTACACACAAAAGACATGCAGATACCTTCCTGTTTCCCAATCCTTCCTTATTCTCCAGTGTGCAGTGATCTCTACTTCAAGTCCCTTAAATGACTAGATCAAAGCTACAAACTTTACAAATTAAAGATACTTTATTTGTTTATAGAACAGGAAAACTAATTCATGTGGCCACAGGTTGGTTTTCCCGAAAATCTATAAAGTAAGGTGATATTGCGGGTTTTGATGGAGATCGAATGATCAAGCTTGCTGGACAAGCAGATGGGTCGATCATACTTAATTCTCCACAGATATTATTCTGACAATTGAGCTAATTCATTTTTACCTGTTTATAAAACGTGATCTGTGTAATTAATTGCAATCAACTGGTGGTTGATTACCAAGATACACATGCATGCAGTTAAAATAACATATCATCCCTTATCAGAGATTTAATAACATGTAAGACTGATCTGATCCAAACCTGTAAGAATAATTATTAATTATGATATGCAAATTCCCCATGATTGGATAGACCCCCAGTCTACATATTATTATTATTATTATTATTATATATTATTATACTATTACTATTATCATCTCAGTGTAAACTTAAAATGCACAAGCGTATTGTGTGTGTGTGTGTGTGTGTGTGTGTGTGTGTGTGTGTGTGTGTGTGTGTGTAAATGCGTGAATGTGTATGTGTGCAGGCAAGTAGTCTTTCTTTACAAAGTGACATTGCCAACGATTTGTCTGGTGTGCATAATACTGTGTTTTTAGTCGCTTTGGATCCGTGTAAACAGAGATTGTGTTGATAATGTTGTAACATACAATATAATATAATAATGTAACATACAATATAATGTTAATAATGTAACATACAATATTGATGGTAATTTAATTCAGATTTATGTTTACTAGAAATTGTAGGTAGGTAAGATAAATATTTTATTTATTACCAATTTCTGGAATCCCACATAGGACAAGTGATTTCGAAAATGGATGGATTTGTTCCACAATTATTTTTCATAATATTTTATGAATATTGGTTTGATTTTTGTTTGTTAAGAGGAGGAAAAAAAAAATCAAAGTCCGTATTGCTCATGTTTACCAAGGGTGGCAATACTAGAGTTATGTTACATATTAATCATTTCAGCATTGATCTATTCGAGGTGGAAACTGGTGGTAATCAGTAACAGCATTCAACCAGAACTGCACAAACATACATTAACTGTGGATACACATACATTTTAACTTAAACAATTTTCTTGGAAAAACAATTAGTGAGTAAAAGAAAGTTCACGAGTCGACTACTCCAGTACACTGATTGATAACACTCGTTCTGTCAGATGTCCTTTCAGAGCTCTGGAAAGAATGTTGTTTTCTTTTAGGGCTGGGTCCGTGTGTGTGTGTGTGTGTGTGTGATAGAGAGTATGCGAGTGAGAGTGTGTGAGTGTGTCAGGATTAATATGGCTTAAATAACACTCAACTAAACTACAGCACTTGGAAAAACACAACACACTTAACGCTCAGGTCAGTACTGCAAAGTTTTATCAATTTAAAAGAACTTTTTCATGTACCTTGTGAAAATTATTGCCACAATTCATATAACATGATGCTGATTTTTGGCTTTAGTTCTTTTTGGGCTCTTTTTCCTTAGGAGCGAAACCCGTCTGCGTCCCGATCCTGAATCTACACGTGAAACATCTCTGAACCTGAGCTGCTTATTTCTGAAAAAGTATATAAGCTTTATACTGGTCATATATATATATAATATCTTACTGTGTCATGTGAAATGTACAGGTATAACAACACACACACACACACACACACACGCAATTCAGTGTATGAACACTGGGCTGGATGAATACAGTACACTTCTCTTTAAAGCTATAACAGTCACATTTGAGTCCTCGACTTACAAAATAAACAACAAATATATAAATAGTTTCCCTTTCAGTCAAGAAATTGTGTGTTAAATACTGGCTGCCCCAATAATGGGATAATACTATTGTTATGTTTGCCATCTAGCCCTCATGTAACTCCAGGTCCAGCGGTAAGGCACTACAGTGGTGAACACGAGTGATGGAGGAGCCGGGCCAAGCCACAGTTTATGAGTATCTGAGTCCTGGACAGTCCATAGACTGTGTACAACCCGTAGTGTTTCTGAAGAGCGTTTCTAAAGCCCAAAGTGGGCGGAGCCTGTCGTCGCCATCTTGGTCGTGCGTCACTCCGGATGAACGAACATGTGCAGCGAGGCGGATTAGCTGAGGTGACGTGACGCTAACACACAGCAGACAAACGGCTAGTAGTGACATCCACCTGTCACTCAAGTGGCCACGCCATTAATTATGCAGAACTTTAAGGCTTAATATCATTTAAACGGATGAGTTATAAAAAAATTCACCCCCCTCACAGTCGTCATGAAGGGCAGGATTAGCTTTATAGACCAAAACCACTTTTTAAACCAGACTGAAAACATGTTCATTTCTGCTGTAAAGTTGGGCATTTTAACATGCGGGTCTATGGGAATGAATCTCTCCTGCAGCCGGCCTCTAGTGGCCAGTGGAGGAACTGCAGTTTAACTCACTTCAGTGTGATTCGAGAGAGAGACCCTGGAAGGTTACCGGTTGGTCCAGTCCTGTTTGCCCAGTTCTCTTCCCCCCTGTGTGTTTGGATCTCTTGTATAGGTCACGTGGGTCATCATGACCCGGGGCAGGTTGTGTGTTTAACGCAGTGTCCCTGAAACAGGACAAGGTTGGCAGGACAGTGACAGCCGGCCACACAGGGTCTGTGACACGGGCCGACCTCGTTCCAGTTATGGCAGGTTTTCGTGCAGCCGGGTCCACATGTGTCGTAAACCGCACCATGTTTGCAGTGTGTGCCTACAGCAGAAAAAGGGAAATGAAAACTAGTCAAATAAGAAGAACAGATACAACTCTAAAAATTTGGGTCTAATCAGGATATTAGAATGATGGGGGCTAAAGGTGTTGCACAGTGATACACAGATCGGTGCGGTGAAGCAGTCATAGATGTGCTTGATCATAAATGCCAGGACTTGTATAGACATCAGGATCAGAGACATCCACTTAACATTCAATCACAAATCGTTTGGAATGTAAGGAGAGAAATGGTTAGTACCTACTGAAATGGTTTCACAATTTTCTAAATATAGGCAATTAACCTGTTGTATTCAGGAACATGGAAAACGAAAACACCCTATATAAATAAATGTGTCCAGTGTGACTTACTGATGCAGGCGAGCTCCGGTCTCCAGTGCACACGGATGCCCTCTCGCTCACACGCTCGACTGTATGCTATGAACGACTCGCAGTAACAGTTCTTATGCACTGGACACTCACACATGTCTGTGACACATGACCTAAAGAGAGGAAGACATGGGGAGAGACAGACATACAGTGAGGAAGCAGAATGAGTTTGAGTAGTTAATCTCACTGTGATGCTGGCTAATCTCACCAGCATCACCAAAATGAAATACCAGGCATTTTCCAGGAACATTTATCTCCATTATCTACATTTATATATTTATACATTTACAACAACTGTTGAAGCGCGTAACATCATTCGCTTTTATGTTTTATGTCAGCAGCCATATCACCCTGTACCCAAGACTGGTTGCCCACTGAAGCTAAGCAGGGCTGAGTCTGGTTAGTACCTGGATGGGAGACCTTCTGAGAAAGCCAGGTTGCTGCTGGAAGAGGTGTTAGTGAGGCCAGCAGGGGGCGCTCACCCTGTGGTCTGTGTGGGTCCTAACGCCCCAGTATAGTGACGGGGACACTACTGTCAAAAAGAGCACTGTCCTTCGGATGAGACGTTAAACCGAGGCCCTGACTCTCTGTGGTCACAAAAAATCCCAGGATGTCTTTGGAAAGAGTAGGGGTGTAAACCCGGCATCCTGGCCAAATTTGCCCGGTGGCCTCTGTCCATCATGGCCTCCTAATCATCCCCATTATCACCAATTGGCTTCATCACTGTCTCCTCTCCACCAGTAAGCTGGTGTGTGGTGGGCGTTCTGGCGCAATATGGCAGCCGTCGCATCATCCAGGTGGAGCTGCACACTGGTGGTGGTTGAGGAGATTCCCCCCCTTTATGTGAAACGCTTTGAGTGTCCAGAAAGGCGCTATATAAATGTAATGAATTATTATTACGTGTTCATTACCCATTTAATCTCTGAAGGTCTAAACTTAAAAGAATTTTGAATTGCGCTTCTGTAACCGAAGAAGATGAATGAAGAAGCTTTTCCCATGTAGTGTCAATCATGATTCCACAACCACTGAACACAATGTGGCTCTGCCCTGCTACAGTAGCCACGCCCCAAACTCTCCTCCTGCTACTGTAGCCACGCCCCAAACTCTCCTCCTGCTACTGTAGCCACGCCCCAAACTCTCCTCCTGCTACAGTAGACACGCCCCAAACTCTCCTCCTGCTACTGTAGCCACGCCCCAAACTCTCCTACTGCTACTGTAGCCACGCCCCCAAACTCTCCTCCTGCTACAGTAGACACGCCCCAAACTCTCCTCCTGCTACTGTAGCCACTCCCCAAACTCTCCTCCTGCTACTGTAGCCACGCCCCAAACTCTCCTCCTGCTACAGTAGCCACGCCCCAAACTCTCCTCCTGCTACAGTAGACACGACCCAAACTCTCCTCCTGCTACTGTAGCCACACCCCAAACTCTCCTCCTGCTACTGTAGCCACTCCCCAAACTCTCCTCCTGCTACTGTAGCCACTCCCCAAACTCTCCTCCTGCTACTGTAGCCACGCCCCAAACTCTCCTACTGCTACAGTAGCCACGCCCCAAACTCTCCTCCTGCTACTGTAGCCACGCCCCAAACTCTCCTCCTGCTACAGTAGACACGCCCCAAACTCTCCTCCTGCTACTGTAGCCACTCCCCAAACTCTCCTCCTGCTACTGTAGCCACGCCCCAAACTCTCCTACTGCTACTGTAGCCACGCCCCAAACTCTCATACTGCTACTGTAGCCACGACCCAAACTCTCCTCCTGCTACTGTAGCCACACCCCAAACTCTCCTCCTGCTACTGTAGCCACTCCCCAAACTCTCCTCCTGCTACTGTAGCCACTCCCCAAACTCTCCTCCTGCTACTGTAGCCACGCCCCAAACTCTCCTACTGCTACAGTAGCCACTCCCCAAACTCTCCATCTGCTACTGTAGCCACACCCCAAACTCTCCTCCTGCTACTGTAGCCACTCCCCAAACTCTCCTCCTGCTACTGTAGCCACACCCCAAACTCTCCTCCTGCTACTGTAGCCACGCCCCAAACTCTCCTCCTGCTACTGTAGCCACTCCCCAAACTCTCCTTCTGCTACTGTAGCCACACCCCAAACTCTCCTCCTGCTACTGTAGCCACGCCCCAAACTCTCCTCCTGCTACTGTAGCCACTCCCCAAACTCTCCTTCTGCTACTGTAGCCACGCCCCAAACTCTCCTCCTGCTACTGTAGCCACACCCCAAACTCTCCTCCTGCTACTGTAGCCACTCCCCAAACTCTCCTCCTGCTACTGTAGCCACTCCCCAAACTCTCCTCCTGCTACTGTAGCCACTCCCCAAACTCTCCTCCTGCTACTGTAGCCACTCCCCAAACTCTCCTCCTGCTACTGTAGCCACTCCCCAAACTCTCCTCCTGCTACTGTAGCCACTCCCTAAACTCTCCTCCTGCTACTGTAGCCACTCCCAAACTCTCCTCCTGCTACTGTAGCCACTCCCCAAACTCTCCATATGCTACTGTAGCCACTCCCTAAACTCTCCTCCTGCTACTGTAGCCACTCCCCAAACTCTCCTCCTGCTACTGTAGCCACTCCCCAAACTCTCCTCCTGCTACTGTAGCCACTCCCCAAACTCTCCATCTGCTACTGTAGCCACTCCCCAAACTCTCCATCTGCTACTGTAGCCACTCCCCAAACTCTCCTCCTGCTACTGTAGCCACTCCCCAAACTCTCCTCCTGCTACAGTAGCCACTCCCCAAACTCTCCTCCTGCTACTGTAGCCACTTCCCAAACTCTCCTCCTGCTACTGTAGCCACTCCCCAAACTCTCCTCCTGCTACTGTAGCCACTCCCCAAACTCTCCTCCTGCTACAGTAGCCACTCCCCAAACTCTCCTCCTGCTACTGTAGCCACTCCCCAAACTCTCCTCCTGCTACTGTAGCCACTCCCCAAACTCTCCTCCTGCTACAGTAGCCACTCCCCAAACTCTCCTCCTGCTACTGTAGCCACTCCCCAAACTCTCCTCCTGCTACTGTAGCCACTCCCTAAACTCTCCTCCTGCTACAGTAGCCACTCCCCAAACTCTCCTCCTGCTACAGTAGCCACTCCCCAAACTCTCCTCCTGCTACTGTAGCCACTCCCCAAACTCTCCTCCTGCTACTGTAGCCACTCCCCAAACTCTCCTCCTGCTACAGTAGCCACTCCCCAAACTCTCCTCCTGCTACAGTAGCCACTCCCCAAACTCTCCTCCTGCTACTGTAGCCACTCCCCAAACTCTCCTCCTGCTACAGTAGCCACTCCCCAAACTCTCCATCTGCTACTGTAGCCACGCCCCAAACTCTCCTCCTGCTACTGTAGCCACTCCCCAAACTCTCCTCCTGCTACTGTAGCCACTCCCCAAACTCTCCTCCTGCTACTGTAGCCACACCCCAAACTCTCACCTTTAAATCTGTGTTAATATCACTCTAGACATCAGATCTTCTCCTACATTAGCGATCTTTAGTTCAGAGATATACAGATTCAAATGCTGCAAAGTTTCCTCAGAGCCTACAGTATCGTTTGATAATGATGAGTGGGGCACTCACTTGTAGAAGGAGGTAAAGTCTACAGCAGAATGGCACTTCTGAAACTCCCAGGACTTTAGCTTCTGGCAGGTTCTGTGCGCGCGGAGCTTCACTTTGACTGAGCCGGGACAGAGGAAGGTCATGGGCTTGTGGTTGGGAGCCTCACACACCTCGTTGTCCTCAACGCGCCATGATTCAGCAAACTCATCCACGTCAAACTTAAACTTTCCGTCTCCTCCGAGCGAGTCGTCTCGCCTGTGACCGTTGTAGTTTCCACACAGCCCGCAGAGACGCTCCTTCAGATGCGGGGCCGCGACCACCTCCACCAGACTGTCCCCGTCCCACGAGATCTCCAGGCCTGGGGAAGAGTGAGGGAACACACACATAATGCATTTGCCTATGTCTGAGATGCTGATGCTGTAACAGGCTATCTAAAAAACACTTCAAACAGCGTTTGGCTAAATCATTTACTTAAAGGTGCAGTGTGTACATTTTAGTGGCATCTAGTGGCGAGGTTCGGAACTGCACCAAACAGAAGCTACGGTGACAGACAGGAAGTGATGTCTTCATCTGAGACTGCAGAGAATAACAGTTAAGCAATGAGGTTTCTTTACAAAGATAAATTAAGAAATTATCTTTACTTTATTATGTTTTTGTGAATATTACTGTCACTTGTTCAACATTGTGTCAGTGTTTTATTCGCTGACTTTAGCTCGCGTCTTTGCACAAAGAACAACATAGTGACGAATCACGTTTTTCTGTTCAGGGACACTGTGGAAACATGTGGATGTAAGCGGACCCGCGGTGTGTGTAGAAACATGTGGATGTCTGAATGAATCTTGAATCAACATTACTGGAAGAACGTTTGTTCGAATCTCACCGGAATGTTCCCTGTCAGCTAGGACTGTTGTTTCATAATTGATATATTTTGATACACTTTTATTGAAGTGCATTAAAAGCACAATGATCCAAACTTGGCGATCAATTACACTGCAGAGCTGCTTTACAGCTGAAACTGAATTATTTTCATAATCAAAACTTTTTGTAATTTTGAATTTTTTTTCCTTCATTAATGTGAAGCTCCTTCTAAACAATTTGTACTGTATAAAGCGCTGTAGAAATACACAACAGTCTGAATTGCTAATTGGAAGCTAGCATGAAACTGTATTTTTATAGAATAATCGCTGTAAATCATCGAACATACTCTTTTGAAACAGAAAGGTGTGTTGAAGCCTGTCTCTCTCCGCTGTGTGACCTGTGCAGGGTTGGAACGAGTGATTTGAGCTGTTAGCACAAAGGTTGCACACAGATCAATGTCATAAAGGCGAGAGAGTGTTAATGACATCACAGTCCTGTTTCCAGTCCAAGGGTCAACGCTGAGCAAGGCACATCATTTTAAATTGCTTCATTCTTACATTGATTTTTTTTTTTTTTTTTGCATAGTCAGTTAATTCTTTAAAATCAGCTGTGCACCTTAAAGAGGACTTGACACAAATCAATTTTGTATCACTACTAACTAACTCAACCAGGCCCCGCCCCTTTATTCTGCGCATGAATTATTATAATGAGGAATATTGTGACGTGTTCGTTCGGGAAAAACTTTAGACTACAATGGAGGTGTTTCAGGAGTTCAGGAGCACTGACACTGATATAGAGAAGAACTGGAGCTTTCTCATGATCACACAGCAGCACACACACACTGAACACAGATGAACATGAGAACAGCAGAATCCTCTTTAAAGGTCTGACCTGCGATGGTGGTGAGTTTGAGCAGGTACCCGTCCAGGTCGATGTGGACGCCGGTGCTGTGGAAGGGCAGAGCGATGCGTGTGCCGTTGTGGCGTACGGTCAGGTGCTGGTGGAGGCTGATGCTCAGGCCTGACGTGTGCAGCTCCACCGACGTGGTCCATGAGAAGGAGCGTGTGCGACGAGCGTCGTTCTTCACCAGCACAGTGAAGCTGGCCGCAGGAGAGCAGTCTTTAGTCAGCACGTACTTACACCGGCCCTGGAAGTTAAAGGTGCGGCCGTCAAACGTGTTATAGTGAGGGTCTCCGAACACGGTGCACACGCCTGGCTCTGGAGAGAGAGATGGAGAGAGAGATGGAGAGAGACATGGAGAGAGAGATGGAGAGAGAGGGAGAGAGGGATGGAGAGAGAGATGGAGAGAGAGGGATGGAGAGAGATGGAGAGAGAGATGGAGAGAGAGAGGGAGAGAGAGGGAGAGAGGGATGGAGAGAGAGATGGAGAGAGGGATGGAGAGAGATGGAGAGAGAGATGGAGAGAGAGGGAGAGAGGGATGGAGAGAGAGATGGAGAGAGAGGGATGGAGAGAGATGGAGAGAGAGATGGAGAGAGAGAGGGAGAGAGAGGGAGAGAGGGATGGAGATTAGGTTTGCTGGTGAAGTATTGAATTGGTATCAGGGTTTGTACAGATACTGTAAAATTAAATTAAAGGACTTTTCAAGCACTACTTTTTTGAATTTCAAGGACTACAATCAGTACTTTTTAAACAATATCTATACTATTATTATTATTTATTTTTTTTAACCTATATGAGATCTGATGTTTCACTTCCATTGACCAGCACTGTGGGAATCCCCTTAACCACTGACAGGATGAAAAAGAAATGTATGAAAAATGAAGTTTATTTTTATACTCATATACTTTATATACTTATCATAATAACTTAATATCATGCTCATAGCCATACATATCTCAGATGGGCTGCAGCGATATTTGTGCAAAACAATTTTCGAAAAAAATATAAATAATTTAAGCACTTTTCAAGTGCCGCTTAAAAAATATGGTTTATTTTCAAGGGTTTTCCAGGACTTACATTTTTAAAAGTAAATTTAAGTACTTCAAGCACCCTGTACTAAGTTAAATGAAGAATGCATATTTTTGTACAAACATATGGCACTTGTAATTTTTATTAGAAAGATGCACTGTTGAGCGTGTGACAGGTGTAAAACAGAAAATGTGTCCTTTTATAAAATCTGTGTTTGATAGTTCAGAATTGATTTTCTGTAAAGAAGTCAGCTTACTGTCAGTGCAGACAGGACAGCAGCCGGTGCGATTCAGGATCTTATTCTGAAAGACAAAACACTGTGAAGAGACAGACTTGCATAGAGAGACACAGAAAATCAAACAGGTTGCGTATAACAATGTCCCTTTCACGGAAGGTCTGTTCACTCTGCGGCTTTACCGATCATCCATTGGCTCTTTATTTAGAAGGCGGGATTTATTCATTCTCCCATTCATAAGTAAATCGAGTGCACCGTCTTTCTAGATATAAAGTCTTTGATTATAATTTCCAGAACAAATCTATAGGAAATGTTGAGAGTAACTAGCCACAAAATAATGAGTTAGGCCTCTGTCTGAACTGTTTATGAATTATGATTTATGCATAAACTGTTTAGATTTTTTAATGTTTTTGAAAGAAGTTCATTACTATTGGTCGCCCTACATGTCTGTCTGTGAGTTTTACATTTATCTAACCAATGAAAAGTATTTAAAACAGCTTGTCTTCTATCTCCATTGGCTCCTCGGACTGTCAGTCAAACCTCATAACTCCGCCCACCTCTATAATGCATGAAGACACAGTTAAAGCGTCTCTGCTTGTTTGCAATGCAATGATAAAGAAGAACTGCTTCTTTGAATAACGACAGAGTTTCCTTTACTCTAAAAACACTATAAATATATAAAGGTTAATGCTTATGTATTTGAGGAGCGAAGATTATCTTAATCTAGCGCTGGTCGTCGAGTCACAGCCAGTGCGGTCTTTACCAGTGTAGCTGCAATAAACTGAATAAGAGGTAACTTGATGAAAACGCCTCAGACATGGTCGTTCTTATGACGGATAAAACACTCAAAAAATCCATTTGATCTTGATTAAGGTAAAATATTAATAATATAATGACGCGTGTGTGCCTGATCATATATAAAGCCACCTGTTTCTTGAAAAGTAGCAGTTTTGTACATACAAGGTTTCTCCCCGACAGCGCTGATATATAAAGTACAGTATGACTAAAAGTAGGTGTCTTTATGCGTCATGTAAAACAGGACTTACCGAGGGACAGCTGGTAATAGGAACACAAATCTTGGGCTGACACTCAATATTCCCCTTAACACATGTGCACAGAGAACAGTTCACCGACGACCATCTGTCCCCGTCCTAAGAGACGAACACACACACACACACTCATTCTCTTGATGTATGCAGGCTTTATCAACCAGTTCATTATATTGTCAACACACATCCCAGACAGCAACATAGTGTCGGCCCAGATCCGGCCCATATCTGGTACATGTGGATTCACCGCGTATCGGATGTGGGCCGACACTATAAGGGCTATCACACAGGAGGAACCTTTTCATAGATCCTAAAACTATTCCCAGTTGTTCCTGGATTTTGGTGTGTTCGCACCGCAGAACTAGCAACTCCTTTTAGAGGAACTAATTTACTCCAGAGACGGTCTAAACCAGCGCTATAGGAACTTTCGTGATGTTAGTGTTCGCTGATTGGCCGAATGCACGCAGAACACAAGCATCCGCCGTTTTTAAAAAGGCTGTGTAAACACAGATTATAGCCTATACAGTATATTTACTCTACAAACTAACTTTACGAACATGTAAAACAGTGATAGATGAGCCTCTTAACCTTTACGCTGAGGAGAACACCCAACACAACTGTGAGGAGATCACGAGAAACATGATGATGTATTTCTGCTCAGCTGGACATCCACACACGGCATACACTAATACCTTTACCATACCGTAATACCATTACTGTCTACTTCCTGATACCGTATTAGACAGGACTGTTAGACAGATCGTAAACTTATGAACACGGAGAATGCGAGCTCTGGCGTTCTCAGAGTCACAACAACAAGCTCTGCTTACGTCACTTCAGAGTTTCTAATGGCGGTGCGAATGCAACCAGTAAAACCCTCCTAGGGGAACCACCCTGGTGGCTAGAGATCCTGTTGCTGTCTGGATTAGTCCATGCTCGTGGACGCCTCACCCTATATATTTTGCTCTTCACCCTGCAGTACTTCACATCTTCCATCTTAAGGTGAGTCTGGCACTCCTCACAGCAGGCGGGGCCTCGACAGGAGCCGGGCGGGGAGCACGTCCTCCTGCAGGCCACCGTAGAGTCCACACACGTGCAGACGGTGCAGGCGTCGTAGCTGATGGAGGAGCCGTTCTCGTAGACCTCGCTGTGGAAGAGACAGCTGCCCGGAGACAGGTCAAACACCTTCCTCTGACCTGCAGGAGACGGACATCCCCGCGCTTATACAGAGACCATGAAGACAGACAGCAACATAGTGTCGGCCCAGATCCGGCCCACGTGTGGATTCCACGCGTACCAGACGGGGGCCGACACTATGTTGCTGTCTGGGATGCATCATTTTGATGAATGACTAAATATCTGATATGAAGTTTCATTTAATTTTTGGATGGTTTGTTGCATGTGCAATGCGGGGGGAATATCTAGTGGATGTGTGTGATATCTGTCACTGAGGTTCTGGAAGTGTGTGGATGTTGAGAAACTCACCACGGCATCTGGGACAGCAGTGACCCGCCGGTGTGTGTGTGAGATGAGACGGGCAGGACAGGACAGGACACACCACCTTCTGACACATGCTGTGACCTCCCTGAAACACACACACACACTTCACTGAACTACAGCAGCTATGTCAAAGATGCTTATATTCAACATGAAATTACATTTACTGTTATCATTTTGAAATAGTTTGGCCAGTGTACAGAGTGTTTTGTTGTGACTGATCTGAGAACAGTGTTCAGCAAATAAACTCACAGTGCAGATGCATTTAATACAGGGATTCCCTTCAGGATGAAATTCTTCCTCTTCTTTATATAAATGTCCCTCGAAAATACATCCTGTGAAGATATAAAATATCAACAACTGTGATGAGAATCTGGCTGATTAACAAAGACATTAAACACACTTCTAGACAAAAAAAAAAAGCCTTGTGGATAGATTAATCATGTGACATTATTGAGAAAATGTTGTGCATATTAATATCTAGAATGCTAGAATGCTGCTAGTTACTCTTGTTTAGGTTTCCCTTTCTCTTCTTTTCTGAAAAATGCACTACATATGAAAACACTCTCTCACACACACACACACACACACACACAGATTTGTCTTGCTTTACTTATGAGGACATTCCATAGGTGTAATGGATTTTATACCATATAAACTGTATATTCTCTCCCATTACACTAACCCGACCCTAAACCTACCATCACACACACACACACTGACTGACCCGGGCAGGTTGGACAGCATCTCTTCGGGTGTATTCTGGGGTTTTTACAGTGAATAACACACCTCATCTCTGCTTCAGTGACGACTCCTTCCTGTACAAACAACAACTAAAACTTACATGTGCGAGTAAAGATTGAAGAGGATGTTTATATTTGTTACAGTGACTTAAATATGATAAAGCACATTTTGTGTGTGCGGTGAGCTACCAGATTCATCTGCATGTTATTTCTTCTTCTTTCTTTAGATATACTTCAGTCCAGTCCTGGTGATCTGGTTCTGTTTATTCTAGTTCTGGACTACAGTATATCAGTGTTGTATGATTGATCAACGCACCTGACAGCTGTATGTGACACAGGGCTTAACAGGACTGATCCAGTGATGGGAACTGTTGTAGGACATCCCGTTCAGCTGACAGCCTGAGAGAGAGGAGGGGGGGCAGAGAGAGACAGTCTTTTTCATGGAACATTGCTGGGTTTATTATACATGATTCATTATTCTGTTAAATTCATGTTCCCGGTAATCTTGAATCAGAATAAGTTCCTCTTCCAGCACCTCTTCTCTTCTCTGAAGACGAGAGCGGGGCAACCAGTCACTCACATAAGATCCACCAATAGCAAACCACAACCATCCAATTAATAGAGTATGCATGTGACGTCACTGTTGGAGAGGTAAGGATACTGCTAGGCTCTTGTTCTACTTGTTAGCAGTATACACCCTTGGTGTCGAAAAATGAAGACACTGGTGCTTCTTTCCAAAATGTATCCAGAAACACTAGAAACACTGAGCGGCAGAAACATGGAAACATCTGTATCCAGGCAGCGAACGGTTTCAATATGCTGAATTTAGGGGTAAAATCACACCCTATATATTGTATTGTTATCTATTGTACTGAAAACTCAGTAGTTAAATATTAAAATAAAAAATACCATCATATATTCTGCATAATTGTTTGTTTTTAAATAAACACTGACAAAAAACTACACTAGATTTAGGGCTGGGTGATATGATGATATATGTAACACTGATATAAATGATCACATGCATTTATACTTATATTGTATTTCTATAAAGTGTTCACAGGAAAATTTGCTTTATGTATTTGGAAATCATCAGGCTCAAATAAATGTCAGGAAACACGATTCCTGCTGCATCTCAGTATCATAATCACTGGATCTTTGGTGAGTTATAAGCATCACTATATCGAGTCTAAACTGATAATGGTTTGTTTTACGGTTGTTCTCTCAGTTTCTTCTGTTAAACTCAGTCGCTCCGCAGGTCTTCTGACACTGGCTGAGGGAGTGTGTTCACACGGGAAAGGGACTCAATGCATAACTTCTGTTCCCCACAGACAAAATCAAGTCCCAGCAGCTCAAATAAAACATCCAGGACAGAAAGAGAGAAGACTGAGTCTTCAGGTGTAATGACGTCTGTCGACCACAAGGTGGCAGTGATGCTAAACTCAAGAGTTAAACAGCAAAACTACAGTCAAACCAAAAATGATTCAGACACCAGATATTGTTCCACTAGTGTGATCAGGACACTATAGTTCATTTCTGTGAGTGAGGAGAGCAAAATAAAGACATATTACACCCAATAACTCTTCACACAGAGACTACCGGTGACATTTACACACATCTGGGGCCAGAAATGATTCGGACTCGTGTTTTGCTGAAGTGTGTTTTCTGTAATTACACACACACTGAACAACATGAAGCATTGCTTGGTCACTGGTTGAGCTAAACTGGTATTATTTAATTGCGTAGTTCAATTGAACAGATATTCAACATAATTCATGTGTGAGAGTCCAACAGAAGGACAAAACCAGTCAAATATCCACTGATCTGATAATAAAATATGATTTCATGCCATTTTTTATTACCATTTTCTAAACTATAGCGAATGAACTGAGATAATGTGAGAAATGTTGAAGGAGTCTTTGGGTTTGTCTAGTGCAGAGCTCAAGTCTGTTACCCCAGACGCAATAAATAATAATAAGATATTAGTCATATTTCAGACCTTTGCATCGTTCACAGCAGGCTCCCGTCTGTTTGACCACCAGCGCACAGTCTTCATCCAACACCGGACACTTCTCCTGCTTACAGTCCGCTTTCTGGTTCTGTCCACAGAGAGAAGAACAAGCCCTTATCAGTCGAAGCCGGACGCGATCATTTCACAATATAACAAACACAAGCAGGACATTGAGTTCGGGACGTGACAGATCCGCTTAACTCAATCACATCATGACATATCCCATCACCAGCAGATAAATGCATGACCACAGCAGGCGGCGTCATCTTTCAGAGATAAAACTTCCTGCATTGATCGCTAATCAATAACGGCATTCATCGAGCCGTCGTATCAGTTCTCACACTCTAACCTTGAGAAGAGTCTCGGATCCTTCACGTTACACACCAGAACTCTTACTCGTGTGATTACAGATGTGTGATCATCTACATGTGAGTGATCATCAGTGTTATTCACACTGGACACAGTTCTGCAGAACACATTTACACTTATCACTTATTTCAACTTAAAAACTCAAGCTCAGCTGCTGTCGTTTCAACTTTTTATATTAAATGCACTTAATAAATGTAGTTGAATCTTGTTTAACATATAAAAAGAAGCTAAAGTTGCTTAAATCATTTTGACGAGTTCAAGTAGTGTATATAATTTTTACAGCGTACAAAAGCAGCACTGCAAATTTGACCACATATAAAATCAGATATAGTTTATTTAAGATACAGTTACAGTGTAATTATATAGTTAAAGCGAGACACTACAGGCAAAAACACTGTTCTCATGCATCTGTCAAGTTTGAGATTTTGGGCTTTTTGTCTTTTTATAAAGTGTTTTTTTTTCTGACTGGCGAAAAGGAAACATCCAGAATTCATGTTTGAGTGTATCTTTTACAGCACTTTATCCTTTTGTATATTTCCATTACACTACATATATTTAAAGGCTTTTCTTTTCTATATACAAATCTCCACTTCCGCAGCTTTACACACTCCAGACGTTACAGTTTTATGACTATCTCGATTCAGAAGGTTTTTACAGAGCGGTTTGTTCATAATCATATTTCTGTATTTTCTGATGTATGGAGAGATACAAACCTGTGACTCTGCTTTAGGGTTAGTTGCGTGTGATTGTGCACAATTTACTGTTATTAAATAGTTGTTAATTAGTTAGTATGTACTGTAAAACCAAGTGTTACCTTAAATTACCCTTTAAACAATATGTGAATTATGAAGCCAGTACTACTTACAATTTTACAATTATTGTTATTATTGTCATTATTGATTACAATATTGAATATTAATTCTACACAACTCTTAAATATTTTGTATATTCTGTCAGAATCTTACTTGTTGTATAATACTTCTTGAATATCCGTATAATCCTTGTGTTGACACAATATCAAAAATTATTTTTATGATTTATAACAACTTTTTTTTCCTCTTCTGCCAAAACAACTTAGGTTCACTAATGTTGTTCCGATTTATTCTGTTTATTAAAATAATCTCTTTCACTGCATTAACTCGAAATTTCAGTTTCAATGAAGTCTTGCTTTTTTAAGTTAAAGCGACAGTGCTTCGCAGTGTTTGCCCAGAGCGCTGTAATTCTGAATCTGCCGTATGAAAGCATGTGTGATGTGCTCACCAGACACACGCAGGAGATGCAGGGGTTGTCTGTGATGTTGGGGATGTGCAGGACTTCTCCCTCGTTCTCACAGCTAGCCTCTGTTCCTGAGGAAGAAGAAGAGAAGAAGACTTTCTTCAACACAACCATCAGTTCAAACCCTCGTTATCTTACAGTGCTTCTCTGTATTTAAGTGATTATTGGCGCATAGAAATGGAAAAAAGGGTAACCAATAATTAACTGGTTTAATTCAAGTCAAAAATATGATTTCATTTTGCTGAATTAATCTAAATAGCAACAGTACATTACATATCATACTCATTAATAATCGAATAATGTAATATGTAAGAGCTCAATTGCACCAATGCTACAATTTTCAATATGTCATAATCATTTGTTAACAAACAATGAATTACTTCAATGAGCTCATAGTTTCTGCCTTTAGTTATTACACTGTTTGAATTAATGCATTTGTAGCTAAGTGTGCTTATGTAGATTTCTGGAATGCATAACTCAGTTCCTCTGATCACAGATCGCTGTAAACTGTAAACTCGTGTATTTTCTGTAAAGCTGCTCTGAAATGACGTGTGTTGTGAAAAAAGCGATACAAATACATGTGAATTGAATTAAATTATTTTCACGTTTAACTTTAGTTTTTTTTTTAAACTTAACACTTATTAAAAATCAAATTCAGATTTAAAACTCAAAAATCCTAACGTATTACAAATGCTATTATTATTGACTATACAGTAGTAGCTCTACTGTCGAAAATGTTGGGGTTTTTTCAATCTATGTTTGAGTCAAATATGGACAAACCCAACCACTGGTCTAAACTAACATAGGTAACCCAAACCAACAGTTGGGTTTGTCCATATTTAACACAAACATACTGTAGGTCGAAAAAACAGCATTTTCTAACCCTATTTACTATACTGTACACTTATTAATAATTGGATAATGTAGCAAATGTATGAGCTCAATTAATTTCACCAACCTTTAATTTCTAAGAAACTAAACATAATCAAAATCAAATTCTGATTAAAAACTCAAAAACCATCAGATTTGAATTTCCCATCTAAATGTTAATGAAACTAATGTTGTGCCTGATATTTGATGTGTTTTGGACTGATATTCCTCCGAGGGCTCGTTCCGAGTGTGTGTGTGTGTGTGTGTGTGTGTGTGTGTGTGTGTGTGTGTGTGAGAGAGATTCTCACCGGTGATTAAAGGCGCAGTTGAATGAGGCGTTTGGAGAATGAAGAGCCAGAGCAGCAGGTTGTGTGTTACTGGAGAAGACACACACAGCATCCTAAATCCGCTCCAGAGAGAAAACACGAGAATAAAGAGAGAAAACACGAGAATAGAGAGAGTATCCCGAGCCTGTCGTTAAGATCCAGAGAGAGAGAGAGACATGAGTGTCCTGAGGGACTCGATCCCGACGCGAAACCGTCACACACACACATCAACTCGACATGATCAGGACGAAACCAGCTCACACACTCCACACAGAGTTCCAAACGCAGGTAAGATCCAGAGGTGTGTGTAGAGATGTCAGTGCCATGGTCCGAGTGGTCCGAGCTGTGTGTGAGCGCGCGCGCGTGTGTGTGCGGGTCCCCGCGGACGCGCTCCGCGGTTAAACACCAGTCCTCCGGCGCGCGCACAGATTATACGCCCTCGCTATTTAAACGCACGTGTGTGTCTGTCTGTGTGTGTGTGTGTGTGTGTGTGTGTGGAGAGAGAGAGGTGTAGTGAGATCCGCCTCCTATCTCAGCTGGGCTCTCACACACACTCCTGACTTTCTCACCAAACAAGAATTTCAGCCTATCATAAAGACACAGGCTGGATAGGAACAAGCCTTTCGCATGTAATTTCTAATCGTAGAATAACAATGACTTCATTCATTGCCGATTATCCAAAGTAGGTGCTAAGCGTCTCCAGAAACCCAAAGCATCGACATGCTCATGAAAGAGCACAGTAATCCTGCTGGAGATGCGAGGCTAGACACACACACACACACACACACACACACACACATTCAGAGAATGATTTGTCCCGAGAAGCCCGAGCTCTCAGAGCAGGACTTGATTCCTGTAATATTAGTCGCTAGAGAGCGCCAGAGAGTATTTGACCGGGATCTTGCAGGTCTTTGAAAGTGACAAACTCAATCCCTTTGCCAAGCCCGAATAATTACAGCAGGTTCGACCAATCTTCTTATGTAGATCCACTTATTATAGTCACTTTTAATAGGTTTAATAAACAACAGTAGTAAACACTGTTTGGGGAAAGTTTCTTTTAAAAGTAATGCATTACAATATTGCATTTCTTCCATATAAAGTAACTAATTGCATTACTTAGTAACTTTTTATGAAACGTAACGAAACGTTTTCTCACCCGCACTGGGCTTGCTTGTTTGTTTCATAATACCTGCAAAAAAGGTTATATTTTTGGAAAATGTTGAGGCCCTTTCACACCAAAAGTGAAATGAATAATCCTCAGCTGAAGGAAATGCATGTTTCCTTCTGTACAGTAGAAGTAGAGTACAGTAGAGGTGGAGTACAGTAGAAGTAGAGTACAGTAGAGGTGGAGTACAGTAGAAGTAGAGTACAGTAGAAGTAGAGTACAGTAGGAGTACAGTAGAGGTGGAGTACAGTAGAAGTAGAGTACAGTAGAGGTGGAGTACAGTAGAAGTAGAGTACAGTAGAAGTAGAGTACAGTAGAGGTGGAGTACAGTAGAGGTGGAGTACAGTAGAGGTGGAGTATAGTAGAGGTGGAGTACAGTAGAGGTGGAGTACAGTAGAGGTGGAGTACAGTAGAGGTGGAGTACAGTAGAGGTGGAGTATAGTAGAGGTGGAGTACAGTAGAAGTAGAGTACAGTAGAAGTAGAGTACAGTAGAGGTGGAGTATAGTAGAGGTGGAGTACAGTAGAGGTGGAGTACAGTAGAGGTGGAGTACAGTAGAGGTGGAGTACAGTAGAGGTGGAGTATAGTAGAGGTGGAGTACAGTAGAAGTAGAGTACAGTAGAGGTGGAGTACAGTAGAAGTGGAGTACAGTAGAGGTGGAGTACAGTAGAAGTAGAGTACAGTAGAGGTAGAGTACAGTAGAGGTGGAGTACAGTAGAGGTGGAGTACAGTAGAAGTAGAGTACAGTAGAGGTGGAGTACAGTAGAAGTGGAGTACAGTAGAGGTGGAGTACAGTAGAGGTGGAGTACAGTAGAAGTGGAGTACAGTAGAGGTAGAGTACAGTAGAAGTGGAGTACAGTAGAGGTAGAGTACAGTAGAAGTAGAGTACAGTAGAGGTGGAGTACAGTAGAAGTGGAGTACAGTAGAGGTGGAGTACAGTAGAAGTGGAGTACAGTAGAGGTGGAGTACAGTAGAGGTGGAGTATAGTAGAGGTGGAGTACAGTAGAAGTAGAGTACAGTAGAGGTGGAGTACAGTAGAAGTGGAGTACAGTAGAGGTGGAGTACAGTAGAGGTGGAGTACAGTAGAGGTGGAGTACAGTAGAGGTGGTGTACAGTAGAGGTGGAGTACAGTAGAGGTGGAGTACAGTAGAGGTGGAGTACAGTAGAAGTAGAGTACAGTAGAAGTAGAGTACAGTAGAGGTGGAGTACAGTAGAGGTGGAGTACAGTAGAGGTGGTGTACAGTAGAGGTGGAGTACAGTAGAGTGGAGTACAGTAGAGGTGGAGTACAGTAGAGTACAGTAGAGGTGGAGTACAGTAGAGGTGGAGTACAGTAGAGTGGAGTACCGTAGAGTACAGTAGAGGTGGAGTACAGTAGAGGTGGAGTACAGTAGAGTACAGTAGTGTACAGTAGAGGTGGAGTACAGTAGAGTGGAGTACAGTAGAGTGGAGTACCGTAGTGTACAGTAGAGGTGGAGTACAGTAGAGGTAGAGTACAGTAGGGTACAGTAGAGGTGGAGTACAGTAGAGTGGAGTACAGTAGAGTACAGTAGAGTGGAGTACCGTAGAGTACAGTAGAGGTAGAGTACAGTAGAAGTAGAGTACAGTAGAGGTGGAGTACAGTAGAGGTGGAGTACAGTAGAGGTGGAGTACAGTAGAGGTGGAGTACAGTAGAGGTGGAGTACAGTAGAGGTGGAGTACAGTAGAGTACAGTAGAGTGGAGTACAGTAGAGTACAGTAGAGGTGGAGTACCGTAGAGTACAGTAGAGGTAGAGTACAGTAGAAGTGGAGTACAGTAGAGGTGGAGTACAGTAGAGGTGGAGTACAGTAGAGGTGGAGTACAGTAGAGGTGGAGTACAGTAGAGGTGGAGTACAGTAGAGGTGGAGTACAGTAGAGTACAGTAGAGAGTGGAGTACAGTAGAGTACAGTAGAGGTGGAGTACCGTAGAGTACAGTAGAGGTAGAGTACAGTAGAAGTAGAGTACAGTAGAGGTGGAGTACAGTAGAGGTGGAGTACAGTAGAGGTGGAGTACAGTAGAGGTGGAGTACAGTAGAGGTGGAGTACAGTAGAGGTGGAGTACAGTAGAGGTGGAGTACAGTAGAGTACAGTAGAGGTGGAGTACCGTAGAGTACAGTAGAGGTAGAGTACAGTAGAAGTAGAGTACAGTAGAGGTGGAGTACAGTAGAGGTGGAGTACCGTAGAGTACAGTAGAGGTAGAGAACAGTAGAAGTGGAGTACAGTAGAGGTGGAGTACCGTAGAGTACAGTAGAGGTAGAGTACAGTAGAAGTAGAGTACAGTAGAGGTGGAGTACAGTAGAGGTGGAGTACAGTAGAGGTGGAGTACAGTAGAGGTAGAGTACAGTAGAGGTAGAGTACAGTAGAGGTAGAGTACAGTTGAGGTGGAGTACAGTAGAGGTGGAGTACAGTAGAGGTGGAGTACAGTAGAGGTAGAGTACAGTAGAGTACAGTAGAGGTGGAGTACCGTAGAGTACAGTAGAGGTAGAGTACAGTAGAAGTAGAGTACAGTAGAGGTGGAGTAGCAGTAGAGGTGGAGTACCGTAGAGTACAGTAGAGGTAGAGTACAGTAGAAGTAGAGTACAGTAGAGGTGGAGTACAGTAGAGGTGGAGTACAGTAGAGGTGGAGTACCGTAGAGTAACAGTAGAGGTAGAGTACAGTAGAAGTAGAGTACAGTAGAGGTGGAGTACAGTAGAGGTGGAGTACCGTAGAGTACAGTAGAGGTAGAGTACAGTAGAAGTAGAGTACAGTAGAGGTGGAGTACAGTAGAGGTGGAGTACAGTAGAGGTGGAGTACAGTAGAGGTGGAGTACAGTAGAGGTGGAGTACAGTAGTGTACAGTAGTGGTGGAGTACAGTAGTTTACTCTACAGTAGAGTACTGTTCCTTGAAATGAATATAGTCCAGTCACTTTGTAACAGTGAATTGCAGTCAGTGTGAAGCTTCCTCAACTGGTTATCATTCATGATAAATATGACGAGTTTTAAGCAAAAATATACATTTTATAGTCACCAAAAGTCATAACCTAAGTTGTACAGGTTTAGAAG